AACTTGGGTTTCTCCAGTTATTTGAAGGATTTATCTTAATCCTCACGCTTTTTAAATTTTAAGGCAAAACATCAAGGATACGTGTTATTGTAGGCCTGTCTACCTAATCTAGCATATTTACGATATTATGATATATTTGATTTAAATAATTGTAAGGTTCTATAATTTATTAAAAGCAATAAACTTTCAAATTTGTTGAAAAATGTCACCTTTAAATGTTAAACCACGTTCACAAAATACTTCAGGTAGCAGGCACGCATTGTAAGGACAAACGTGCAGTTTTTACTTGTTTGTAAAAATATAGAGCTAAACAATATTTAACATACAATAATTCTTGCCCTAACTTGAGGAAAAAAACTCAAAATAAAAGTTATTTGTTTACCACATATTATTGCGATTTAGGCTTTGTTCATTCTGTCGGAGGGCTAAAAATTATTACTCTTTTGTTAATTTTTATGTGCTAATTAGGGTAAGCAGTATAATGATTGGCACTTTAAGCGGATTTCTACTTGTAAGTGGTTAATTCTCGTAAATAAACAAATTTGATATATTTTTTATTGTTTTGTTGGATTTAAGTTTAGATAGCCATAAATAAAATAACGCATTACGTTTATAAAGAAATGTTTAATTAAGTTAAAAATCTAATTAAACTTTTTTCTAGGGAATGTTGCAATCATTGGCACTTTAGCATAGTGAATGGCACTGTAAATTAAGTATAATCATTGGCACCATTGAAAGTCTTAAAAAGTTATACCCAGATCTTTCTAAGCTCCATCTTATTATTATAAGACTTATTTTTAACAAATCTTCTTCAAAAATTTTCCTTAGATCTTCATCTGAAAGTGGTTTCGTTGGTCTACCATGTTTTTTTCTTTCTTTTTATACATTTTTGGCAGTGTCAAGAATAGATTTTGGACAAAAGAAAGAAAGTAGAGTGATTGACATATATGCCAATGATTACGTAGTCAAACAAAGTATAGTCATTGGCACAATTAAAAAAACCGATGCTTCTATTTCACAACGATAAAATAACGTTTAATATGCTTTAATGACGTTAATTGATTAAAATAGACAGAAACTTGCCTATAAACTTACCTAAAAATCACATTTTTGTCTCAAAATCTAGCCACAAAACCTTAACTTTTTGTTAAATTTTAACGGATTTGTCCGTACAAATGTTTAAAACAGCCCTTAGAGGAAAATAGTTGACGCTTTAAATATAAATGTGTATTGTTAGTATAAGTAATTACATATCTTAGCAATATCTGTGTAGCTGTGATATAGAAAAAGGAAAACATTCTTTATATTCAGATTAAATAGCAAAGTGCCAATGATTGTAGGAGTGCCAACATTAGTACTGTTTACCCTATTTAATGTATGCTATGGTTGAGTACCACCGTAAAAGTGTAGCTTACAGCCGCAGTGTTTCGTATGGTGCGTGGGTGGACCCTTTTTACTGGAAACGAAGCATTTCATCTGAGTCATTTTCATTTTTAATTTAGGATTTAAGATGTTTATGGTACCTAATAATATAAGATCTCTATGGGTCACAACATCCACGGGCTACAGTAGTCACTTACCATCAGGTGGACTGTAAGTCCGTTTGTAACTTCAATTTTATTAAAAAAAAACTGTGGCCGGAGGTATAACAACTACACAATTTACTCTACAATGTTAATTTAAATTAAATAAACCCAAAAATTTGTTTTGTGTTGTTTAAAATTTAATAATTTTCTCAAAATGAGCTTGCGTAATTAAAATCTAATTGGCATTTCAGTATTTGGGATCAAGTTTAATTAGAGCATTTTTCAAAACCTACTTGTAGTTAACGCGCAGTTTGAATTGCCAATCTAAATCCCACTTAGATTGTGTAAACTACTTCAAGTAGGTAAACAAAAAGTTAATTGAATTTATATAGCGCTAGTTTGTGAACAGACATGTCTCTGCTTGCAAATTTTATAATTAATCAAAGACAAGATTACCCATAAATATATGATTTATTGTAACAAATTTCTAACGGATAATATCACGAAAGTCTCTGGCTCAGTACTAAGCACTTCGGGCTAAACACCTTAGCTAGTTAGTTAATTACAGCCTTTATAAATTCCACGGCTGGACACAGACCTGTTATTTCTAAGAGAGTTTTTAGGGCAAGGAAACGTCCATTGCACTGCCTCAATGCGTGTGGGTGAATTGCACATGCACTGCACTGGTTATCGATATTTTTTTCAGAGGTGCAGAATTCCCGAGCATAATATGCTGAATCAGCACTTAAAATCTCAATTAACAATTTCCGGCCGACGGAGATCGGACCCAGACTGCTCTTACTGTAGTTAGCGGTAGCGCTGAGCTACTAGGGCTTTATCTAAAACGTCTATTCGCACAAAAGTCATATTACCGTAAAACTCTCACGTGCAACGTTTTAGTAATGGAAATGCCACGCTTCGGTTGCATTATGGTTGCAGAATAAATGGGTAGGCTTGATCAGGGAAGCTCCACGCCCCCTTACAATACACCAGCTTAAAATAGCAATATAAGAACTGTGTTTGGCATGATGAGTTTAGAGAACCAGAGACCATTTTAGTGATAATGAGGCATAACCATATTAAAATACCTATTATATTTAATTCATTTCTTAATCCTTGTAGCAGCTTAAAGCCAACAATAGGCACTCTTAATTTCTTGTAGCATTTTGTGCCAGTACAGAGAGAGGAAAGCAAATGTTAATTTGTACTATGAAGAAATAAATAATAATGTATTGTCATCCCTCACTTTTTATTACGGGATCAACAGGTCATGAAATATGTTTTAAATTCAATGCTGGTTCCTACATTTCACTGATGTTTTAATTAAAATTTTCTTATTCATTACAAAATATTCGAGACAATAATATCAAAGAAACTATTTTCTTTACAAAATAAAAAAATGAACAAAAACAATAAACTAATTCATAAAACAAGATTGTGACTTATGCTGCGTAGCAAAAGTACAAATTAAACTAAATCTCCATTTGACATTGCCATTACTATACTTTTTGAATGGTCTCTCCGTGGCGACTAACGCCAGAGTTCCTCAGGGGTCCGTTCTCTCCGCAACTCTCTTCCTGCTGCATATAAATGATCTGCTCATTCCCGGTATCTATAAGTATGCAGACGACAGCACAGTTGTGGAGAGATACCAACCAAGTGCCCGAGCCAGTTGGGATCAAATCCAGTCAGAAAGGGAGGCTATGGTTGAGCGTGTGAGTCTCACTCTACAGGCAGTCTCCGAATAGGGCGATGCCAATCTCGTGAAATTTAACGCCTCCAAAACACAAGCGTGTCTTTTTACCGCTAAATGGAGCCCGCTCACATTGGCTCCTACTTTCCGGAATGTATACTTGGAGTACACTGACCGCCTTCAGTTGTTAGGGATTGAATTTTCTCCGAACCTAAACTATGGGCGGTTCATTGAGTCCAGAGCCAAAGCAGCCCCAAGGAAACTTGGTGTCCTTGCAAAGGTGCGGCGGTACTTCATGCCGGGGCAGCTTCTTATATAAAGCGCAAGTTCGGTCGTGCATAGAATACTGCTGTCACGTATGGGCTTGTGTTGCAAAATGCCACCTGGCAGCATTGGACTCAGTGGAAAGACGTGCTAAGAGGCTCATTTGTGACCTTGATTTGGTTGAAACCAATCTTGTCAGCCTCGAGTACAGGCGCTGAGTAGCCAGTCTCTCGGTATTCTATAGGATGCATTTTGGTGAGTGTGCGCAGGAATAACACGCTTTAATACCTCCCTCCCCTTTCCACCATCGGATAACCAGGCGGTCGACGGGTCTTCAACCATTTGTTGTCGACATTCCACGCACTAGGACCAAACTGTTTGCTTCGTCTTTTGTAATGCGTACAGCAAAGGAGTGGAATAATTTGCCGGCGTCTATCTTTCCGTCCCAATACAATCTGGATGTCTTCAAGGCAAGAGTGAATAGGCTTTTGTTACGCAAAGACAGTGCGATTTACCATCTAAGGCTACATCACCACTTAAAACCAGGTGGGATCGTGGTCAAGCACTGGCTTATAATAAATTAAAAAAACCAGCGTCAAATAGCAGTTTGATGCTGTTATGTTTTGTCTGAATGTCGAGATCTAGCGATCCTTTTTACTGGAAACGAGGCACTTCATTTAATTCTCAGAATTGAAAATATATTTGCATATTGATTCTTAATTGAAGGCAGATATAGATGTCTATAGGCTCATATATCCCACATACTCCACAGCATCCACTTACCACCAGGAGAACTGATTAGAAGTTTGGTGTGAAGTACCCTCTATTGGGAAAACCGAACCCTCGAATGCTGATCATCATCTGATGGCCTCATCTCGGAAGAAGAGAACATCTGATCTTCAGTCACATGGAAAGGCGTGCTGAAAAATGGTAAATGCCTTTCTTTTTGACTTTCATTTTTACTGCAGCCATGGAATCTGACTCTTGAGGACGCAGAGGTAACGAGTACTTAGAAGCACCAACCATCCCAACTTAGACAGTGGATAATAATGCTGCTTCCTATAACCAGTTTATCGGGCGCCAGACACTCGGTCTTCAGTGACGTCAATATTATAAATTTTTAATAAGGACATACATAAATTTCATCACACCCGTGACAGTTATTTGTAGGCCAAACAAATAGTAGTTTACACACAAATACTTAGCCACTAAGCTACCGAGCCATCGAATTGACAAAAGAATAGAATATAACATAATACAGTAAAACTCGCTTAATACGAGTACGATCACGTTTAATACGATTTCTCGTTTAATACGCCATTTTATGCCAGTTCCTGCAACTTGAGGCATGTTTTCATACATTTTTAATACACTTAATACGATTCGTCATCCCGTCTAATATGCCATCTGAGTCGCAAAAGTTACATTTGCTAGTGATTGGTAAGGCGAAAAATCCACGTTGCTTCAAAAATATGAAATCGTTCCCTGTAACATATGATGCACAATATCGAGCTTGAATGACTGGCCTTCGTTTCATTAACTGGTTAAAAGTTTTAGATGATCACATCCAGATTAAATGTAGGCGCATAATTTTCTTCATTGATAACTGCCCCGCTCACTCTAAAGATATTGAACTAAAGAACATCACGCTTGTTTTCTTACCTCCGAATGCGACAAGCAAGTTGCAACCAATGGATCAGGGCATTATAAAAGTCCTTAAACAAGGCTACAGAACACGATTGATACATCGCTACGTTCAATAAATGGAAGACCCTGACAGCAAACGACCCTTGACTGTGCATGTCGCGACCCTAAACATTGCAGCGGCATGGCAAGCAATTAAGCCTAAAACCATTCAAAATTGTTTCAAGAAAGCAGGTTTCCGACATAACGAATCTGATGTCCTGTTGGAAGAAGAACCCGCGATACTGCAGGGTTTTTCTGGATATTCTTCCATTGACCACAATGTTGCACCCTACGAAGCCTGTTCGATTGAAGATCTTATTCAAGATGTGAACAACACCCAAAAAGAGGCCCTAAGTGATGACGATGAAGATAAACGAGAGTCAATTCCAATTTTGTCAAACGCAGGGGCATTATCAGCAGCAACCGATTTAAGGCGCTATGTATCTTCTTTCAGGAAAAGTGAAGACGCACAGCAATAGTTAAATTATATTGAAAGCCTTGTCATTAATAATGCATCAAAATATTTTTGTCAAACCAAAATAAGTGATTATTTTAAGTAATGTCATTATAAATAATAATTAACTATGATGTAATGTATTTAAATACATATAAATATGCACAACGTTGTACGTCTCTAACAAATTTATAAATACGTATACCTATAATTCAATACCTGCACAATATTTGTAAATGATGTTTTATTTTTCCTATCCCGCATAATACGCTTTCCCGCTAAAGTCGCGATTTTGGCTGGGTCCCTTCAAAATTGTCTTAAGCGGGTTTTACTATATAATAATTCAATGTATTATGTTCGCCTCTCCCCCACATACTGATCAAGATTTCAAATATTAATATATTTAATATATTATGTTTATATTAAAAAAAAATCATTTTTACTCTTTTCGAAATGAAACGAAATTAAAGATGGTATATTTTTAATTAAATAAATGGTACTAGTACACATTAGTAAAAGCTTATTTATAATATCATTTACGATCACTTTCGGTTATACAGGAAGGTAAATATCTTTGACACAGAAATTCGAAACGAACTTGTGGATTTAAATTTAAGGGTTCTTAGCTTTTGTCCCTTGTCTAAGCACTTAAATCAAGAGACGCCCTTTGATGTTGCTTACTGCTTTGTATTACGGAGTCGCTTAAGTAATCTAGATAAATTGTAACCATATGAATCATGGTAGCTCAGAAGTTAACTCTCGATTAAATTTTCATAATACGCCGCAAACGAATTCGATCCCCGCCAGTATTGCAATTATGAATTTGATTTTAAAAGCCAAACCTTTCACGGGCTCTTTGAAAACAAAAATTGTCTGGAAAGCTGTATGTCAAGAAATTATGGAATTTAAATCTAGCAACACGAATTAGGACAGCGTGGAGGGCTCTTTTAAAATCTCTCACGAATAAGATTATAAGATTTTTCAGTCTTTGCTTTCATACTCGCCATTTATGACAACTAGGCCATATGGGGTAATGGATTTCTCCACTGCTCGGAAAGTGTAACATACAACTACCATAATCATTATAACGTATCTTTAAACGTTGGCTTGAATTAAATTTTCTTAGCAAGAATACGTTTATTAGGTTACGAGATTAAAAAAAAAGATTAACCTGATAAATTTAGGTTTAGTTTTCATTTTTCATTAGTAAAAAATTGCTTATATCTATAGACGAAAAAATTATAATATATTATTTAATTTTCTGAAAACAAAAAAAAATATATATATTATATAAATTTTTTGAAAGTCAAGATCATTTCAGCCGATACGTCTAGTTTTAGACCATTATAATGTATCTTCAAACGTTGGTTTGAATTAAATTTTCTTAGCAAGAATACGTTTACTAGGTTACGGGATTAAAAAAAGATTAGCCTGATAATTTAGGATAAACATATAAGTCAAGATCACTTCAGCCGATACGTTTAGTTTTAGACATGAATAAATCGCATACACATTAGTTTAACGAAGTTATTTTATTCATTGTTTATTAAATGCAATTGAAATTATATAACTTGTTTCATTTTATTTTCGTTTAGCCGATAAGTTACTGTTAAACTTTTCTATAACCCCAAAGCTACTATACTAGTTACTCCTAGAAAATGATAATATTTAGATATTGAAACTGCGAGCATAAGCTAGTCAAAAACAAAACATTGAATATCGAGTGATAAGAAATTATCTTATCATTTCTGTCACATATAAGCCACAATTATATGGTAGGTTTTTCGCAAAATCTGTTAAGCAAAGTTAATTTAATTCTGTATAAAAGATTAACTTACTCTAACACAGAAATGTCACGCAAACAATTTAAACTCACAGTAATAAAAGGGATTAAAACGGGTTCTCACTGGCATTCCGACTTGTGAGTTATTTATGTGGGAACTTGTTCATTTCTACTTTGTTCCATATTATTAAATATACACAAATTGCTTGAATAGTAGTGTAGCGAATGGTCATCATAATTGAAGTTAGATGGTTTCGTAACTAATTTCTTCAAATAAATAAGATGAAAATATTGTTTATTTATTTATTAGGTCCAAATTATCACTAACAATACAGATTCTTATCATCTAATGCGCTAGTGTAAACATTTACCAAATCTGATTACTGTATCATAATTAATGCAGGTTACTGAATACGCTCTAAGAACATAATTGAAATATGTCTGATTCCTCATGTATTAAAGTTAAGTAGTTTGGTGAGAGGAGTGCGCGAGTCTTAATTCCTCATGTATTAAGGTTAAATAGTCTAGTGACGCGAATGCCTCATTCACCAAGTTGGTGCGTACACGCGCAATTTCCAGCAAACGAAAACTCTGTCCCTGGAAATTGTACTCCTCTAGACGGAGATATTCAACTATATATACTATGCGCGAAGTGCATTGTATTCTGAGGAAAATCACACTCAGGATTTTTATATCAAATAAGTTCCAACGCGATGAATGTTAGTTCACGAAAGACATTTTTTGTGCGCACGGGCATTATAAAACAAGTGGATAAAATTAATATTTTTAGACGTATGTTTAAGTTTTATTGCTATCTATATGAAGAACAATATCAAGCATAAGACAGCAGTAATCTGTACACGCAATCAAGGCTGTACATCCACCAAGACATTAGAATTAGGTATCTAATTCCCTCTTATTTCTTAGAAAATTTAGGATACCAATGCGAGGTCCCACCTAACATGGAGTTCATCAAAACCTACCGAATACAAATTAGGTTGGATCTCTAAGTGGGTAAGGTTGGTGTGGATTGCCGAGTAGTGGCGGCGTTAGAGAATACTACACCGTATTGTCCTGTGGCTGTCGTAACAGGTGACTAAGGGAAACTGAAACAGAAAAGTGGCTGCAGCAGCTGCCTGATGAATGAATGAATGAATGAATTTCCTTATTTTAAAATGGGTAATACCGAATATGGCAACAAATATGTAGTACAGATTTCACCATATTTTACTATGAGGTATGCAAAAACTATAAATAATAATTTTGTTTATCAATTTACGTAGATATGTCATTCACAACATAATACAGTAGATTAACAATTATGTCTATTCAAATTACATTTAAGTCTATTTAGTCAATTGGTCAATTATTACGATTATTTAATTATTATAAGCCGTCGTCAAATTATTACATTACGAAAAAAAAAATAAAAAATACAATATATAAATAAATATGTACCCCGTTGTTTTTCGATAGTATTAAACCTGTTTTAAAAACAAATTTGATCAGTTTTTAAACCACGTTGATAAATTGTATAAATTAAACCCCCACATATCTCTTACTATTTTAAAATATTGTCTTCTTGTACCTAGATTTACATATTTACTCCGCTCGAGTCCAGTCTGGAAATGTTCGGATATTTTAAAAGATATTTATAATAATCTAAGAATAGCTATAAAAAAATTCTAAATTTAACTTTAAATACAACAGCCTGGACTCAAGCTACTTTACCTATAAAATTTGGTGACATTGGTGTGAGAAATCTTTCTAGCGTAGCATTGCCTACTTTCCTTGCTTCCGTGCATATTATCAGTGACTTATGTAACACTTACTTACTTACTTATCTTCACGCACAATCCCTGACGGGGTAGCCAGAGAGAACAGATCGACACGTGTCACGATCCTTACATACCTCTTTCGCTTCTTTCAGATTCATTATCTTCTTCATACATGCACGTCTAGGTATCCGAGTACTCTTGACCCTACCCTCTTCGAGCAATTTGCTCACATGGTCTTCGAAAGTTATTCTCGGTCTACCTCGACACCTTTTAATATTAACTTTCGCGCTATATATTTTCTTCACCATTCGGTCTTCACTCATTCGCTCAACGTGCCCAAACCACCGAAGCACGCCCTTATCAATTTTTGTGATAAGGTCATCTTTCAAACCTGCCATATTGCGAATCTCTTCGTTTCGCTTTCGGTCGGCCATGGTAACGCCGCACATTTTACGAAGAGATCGCATTTCCACTGCATTCAACTTACTTTTATGGTTCTTCTGGCATACCCAGGTTTCGCTGCCATATAACCAAGTCGGTACCAACACTGCGTTATATATTGCAAGGCGTGCACTCTTCGCTACGCCTTGCCTTTTGACTAACGCAGTCAGGGCACCATTGACTTTGTTCCCGGCAGCGACACGCCTGTCCACATCTAAATCACATCTTCCATCCCGGCTAAAAGCACTCCCCAAGTATACAATTTCATTTACTTGTTCTAGACATTCCTGATTTACCCATATTTCACACTTCGTTCTCTCTTCGTCCCTTTCAAATACCAGAACCTTAGTTTTATTAGCATTCAAACGGAGACCTTTAATTTCACATTCCTCTTTCATACACGTGACGAATGCCTGCAGTTCTGCCTCTGATGGTGCAATAAGCACTGCATCATCAGCGTACAGCAGACAATTTACTTTTATGTCACCCAATTTCACACCCAAACAGCTATCTTTCAGCTTCTGTAAACAGCTGTCCAGATACAGTATGAACAGCCAGGAAGACATGACACAACCCTGCTTTACGCCCGTTTGGACGTTAAACATGGGTGACAGGTCATGC